CTGCATTTCAATCTCAGGACAAAAACATTCAAAGACGGCGCTGGGAAGCGGCTCAGCGGTAGAGCGCTCGCCTCGCACGCCTGAGGCCCTGGGTTCCATTCCTCAGCACCACATAAGCACAAGGAAAAAAGCCGAAGTGGCGCTGTGGCTCAAGTGGTAGAGCGCTAGCCTTAAGCTGAAGAGCTGAGGGACAGCGCCCAGGCCCAGAGTTCAGGCCCCATGACCAGGCCCCCCCCAAAAAAAAGCATTCAAAGAAGGAGGTGGGGAGGACTTCCTCAGGAGTCAGACAGGGGACACCTGAAGTCCCGCAGCCAGTGCCGCATCCCAGTGCGGCAGACGGGAAAGCTTTCCTTCTCCCACCACAATCGGGAACGGTCTTCCCCTGCCATCCATCCGTCTATTTAACATTGGATTGGAGGTGCTAGCCAAAGCAATTAGGCAAGAAAAATAAAAGGAATCCCATCAAAATTGTGTCTCCACAGGCATGGGACCAGCCCTCCCCTCTGCCACGCCACCCTGCTGGGCCTCAAGGCCAGGAAGCCTGCAACGTTCTGGTTCCCCAGCACGTTAGACGCATCCACCGGATGCAGAACTGTGACCGTTCTGAACAGATGTGTGACAGCGACTCCATCCAAAAGCCGCTCTCCTCTGTTTTCCATTTGATGGGTGACTTGTTGACTCGATCTGCTGTAGCAAGGTCAGAATTGCACCTGATGACTCCAATAGGAAGAATCAACCCAAGAGCTGCGTAGATGTAGATAAGGAAGCGAGACAAACTGCCTGGCACTCACAATGTCCCCGAAGACAGGCGCTGGGCACAGCACACGGAGACACTTCACTTCCTTTATATTCTTCCTTTATTCAACCTTAAATACTTAAAAAGCAAGTGTCTGGATCAAACTTACAAAGTAAAGCTTTCCTTTCCAGGACAAGGTAACCTCGATCACTCGATCAGCATGCCTCCGAGCCCAGGACCAAGAGGGAGAGGGCGTTTCAGAGACGAAAGTGAGATACAAAATTTGAATAAGAACACAGAAAGTCTCGATTCCTAAGGAGTAGAATTAACAAAAAATTAGGACTTGGCTATGGAAACGACAATGAAGTAATCCTATTTCTGAAAGGAATTACTTTGTAAGGTCCCCAGAAAAGACAGAAAAGGCTGACAGTTCCAAGTACCTCTGTCTGTATGCTACCAAATCATTTCACCAAGGAAGTCAGAACCTCCTGTAGCAGCTCCACAACAGGCCTTGCTGGTTTCTAGGGAAACTGAGTGCCCTGAAGTAGTGTTTGAAAATTAAAATGAGGCGTTTAAAGTATGTAACAGGCTCCTTTTCTTTTTGGTGCCAGTCCTGGGGCTTGAACTCAGGACCTGGGCACTGTCCTGAGCTTTTTGGTGCAAGGTTAGAGCTTTACCACTTGAGCTCCACCTCCAGCTTTGGTGATTAATTGGAGATAAGAGTCTCATGGAGGGGCTGGGAAGGTGGCTCAGTGGTAGAGCGCTTGCCTTGCATGCCTGAGGCCCTGGGTTCAATTCCTCAGCACCACATAAGCAAAAAGAAAAAAGCCGGAAGTGGTGCTGTGGCTCAAGTGGTAGAGCGCTAGCCTTGAGCTGAAGAGCTGAGGGACAGCGCCCAGGCCCAGAGTTCAGGCCCCACGACCGGACCCAAAAAAAAAAAAAAAAAAAGTCTCATGGACTTTTTTTGTCCAGGCTGGCTTTGAACTGAGATCCTCAGACCTCAGACTCCTGAGTAGCAGGATTATGGGCGTGAGCAACTGGACCAGGCTGGTAGGAACTTCTGAGGATCAAACAAAACCAATCATCTCAGATTCCCAAGTTAATCCTGCCTCACCTCATTGCTAACATGGCCAAGAGTAGCTAGCTCCGCAGAATGAAGGAAGAAAGGACTAGTGGTCTGGGTAGGGGAGAAGGGAGGGGGTTGGGGGTGGGGGTGAGTCTTGCCAGAGAACACAGCACACCCATGGACAGGACAGAGCAACTGCCCGGTGCTAATAAAAACAAGACGAGGGGACTCACTACCAGCGGGTGTTCTCGATGCTGTTTTCTCTGTATGACTGTGAGCTAGAGACGGGGGCCCAGATGGAGAAGGAGCTGGAAACGTCCGTGGAACCACCAAGGAGACTTGAAGGAACTGCTCCCACTCAGCCAGGAGCAAACCAACCAACCGGCCTCCCTTCATCACCAGGCCGAGTCGGAGACCAGGATGCAATGGGGCAGACACAGACTGGACACATACCCTGTAGAGACGGGGTAAGACCCCGCGCAGATCCCAGCTCAGGCGGCCACCACTAAGATATCTGCTGCTCCCAGAGGTATACTGTATAAAATAAGTGGAAGACTCAGACACTAAATGTCATAAAATACGGTTAAATAAAGAATGATTCAACTAAATGGGAGATACCAGACATTCATGAATCAGGGGCCTTATCATTAGGAGAACATTATTCTCTGACAGATGGAATGCAATCTCTATCAAAATTTCAGCTGCTTTTTCATATGTACACAGAGAAAACAACAAAACCATCCTGAAGTTCATTTGGGAATACAGGGGTCCAGGAAGACCAAACAATCCTGAAAGACAACAAAGCTGGACAGGGAAATCGTGCCCAGAAATAAATCACAAGTCAGACTCAGGGCTGATGTTCAAATGAGGTGCCAAGAAAGTTCAACAGGGAAAGTATAATTTTTCCACCAAACAGTGCTGGGACAATCAGACATCCACCTGTGCCTATGGGCCTGACCCTGCTTCACACTACACACAAGGCGTCATTAAAAAGGCACTGAAGCTGGGTGCCTGTGGCTCACGCCTGTAATCCTAGCTACTCAGGAGGCTGAGATCTGAGGATCACGGTTCAAAGCCAGCTCAGGCAGTAAAGTCTGTGAAACTCTTATCTCCAGTAAACCACCAGAAAACCAGAAGTAGGGCTGTGGCTCAAGTGGTAGAGCGCTCGCCTTGAGCTGAAGAGCTGAGGGACAGCGCCCAGGCCCAGAGTTCAGGCCCACGACCGGATCCCCCCACCAAAAAATATATATATATACATTAAGAGCTAAAACTTATTGGGCGCCCGTGGCTCAGGCCTGTAATTCTAGCTATGTAAGAGGCAGATCTGAGGATCGCAGTGTGGAGTCAGCCCAACAGGCAAATCCTTGAAATTCTTACTTCCAATTAAGAGCAAAAAGCCCAGACCAGGGAGGGGTGACACTGTCGAAAAGGAAATGTACTCATGACCAGATTCATGGAAGCGTAACCCTGTACATCACCTTTGTAATATTAAAAAGCTAAAAGTGGAGGCATGGTTCAAGTGGTTGAGCACCAGCTGGGATCAAGGTGCAGTAGCTGCAGCTCTCAGAAGTTGGGGGCGGGAACACCCATCCATGCACCTGCCTTGGGGAACGCCTGGAAGCTCTTCAGAAAGTTAAACAGTTACTGTAAGAATCAGCAATTCATTCCAAGTTTAGACCCAAACAAATGAGTTCACATCCATACGAACACCTGAACACACAGGGATTCCTCAGGGCCTCCCGGCGGGAGCAGCAGCCACAAGACCCATGCTGAGTAGAGCAGCACACTGGGCGGGGACAGGAGGGAGACCAGGTGACCGGCCTGGGTGCCGGCTCAGGAGCTCAACAGAGCAGTCCTAGACAGGCAGAGCAGCAGTTCCACGCTCTGCCCCGCAACACGCCCAGGCAGTTCCTGTGTGTATTAGAAGCAGTGTGGGCACCCGGGGGCTGTGGCTACCGCTTGTAATCCCAGCGACTCAGGAGGCAGACAGCTGAGGATGCAGGTTAGAGGCTGGCCCAGGCAGGAACGTCTGTTTTATCCCCAATTAACCAGCAAAATGCTGGGCCAGTGGTATGGCTCAAGTAGTACAGTGCAAGCCATAAACAAACGTCACCAAGAGATCAGGCCAACTTTAAGCCCCAACATCAGGGACCAATTCAAGAAAGAAGCATCCTGTGCTTCAGACCGTCCAGGTCTGAGGGGTTATTTCTATGGCTTCTATGGAGAGGACCGACACCTGCTCTGAGCACTGGTCACTGTGGGATGGATGGACAGCTGATCTGAGCACTGGTCACTGTGGGGAGGATGGACAGCTGCTCTGAGCACTGGTCACTGGGGATGGGCAGCTGCTCTGAGCACTGGTCACTGTCGGGATAGATGGACAGCTGCTCTGAGCACTGGTCACTGTGGGATGGATGGGCAGCTGCTCTGAGCACTAGTCACTATGGGATGGATGGACAGCTGCTCTGAGCACTGGTCACTGTGGGATGGATGGGCAGCTGCTCTGGTCACTGTGGGATGGATGGGCAGCTGCTCTGAGCACTGGTCACTGGGGATGGGCAGCTGCTCTGAGCACTGGTCACTGTGGGAATGGACAGCTGCTCTGAGCACTGGTCACTGGGATGGATGGACAGCTGCTCTGAGCACTGGTCACTGTGGGATGGATGGGCAGCTGCTCTGAGCACTGGTCACTGTGGGGATGGACGGGCAGCTGCTCTGAGCACTGGTCACTGTGGGGATGGACAGACAGCTGCTCTGAGCACTGGCCACTGTGGGGATGGGCAGCTGCTCTGAGCACTGGTCACTGTGGGGAGGATGGACAGCTGCTCTGAGCACTGAGAGGCCGGCCATCCTGAAGGGCGTTTTTAAGTGACACCGGTTGGCCTCAAGGCCTCATGTTTGCTAGCAGGTGCTCCACCCCCTGCGCACACCCTTGGCTCAGGTTTTGGAGGACGGTCACTTTTGTTCAGGCACCTTAGACTGCTGCCTGTGTGCAGTTGGGATTGCGGGTGTGAACCACGACACCTGTGCTGCTATCTTTATGCCAGCCTCCTGCGAAGCTGGGATTATAGGCATGGGCTGCCACTTCTGTTTGTGGTCCTCATGCCAGCCGGGCAAGCGCCCTGTACCAAGCTCTGCTCCTGGACCCCTATGGCGTCTCTACGCATCTCCTGGACTTGACACGAACACACAGCCAGCCACGGCTCTGCTCAGGCCTGCGCCCTGGGCCTGGGACAGTGCAGCACACAGGCCCAGTGCTTTAATTCAGCGCATAGTTAAACTGGTTTGCGAACTTCTCGTGCTTCTTCTGGTCCATCTGGTTCATTGCAGCAACTACTCTCTGCACCGCTGCCCTGGAAGAGAGCGAAGCAAGACTCACTTAGGAGGGGTCGCGGGGGGGCTGTCTGCAGACGTCCTGTGGGTGCCATCCCGTGTACGGGGAGGCCGACACAGCACCACGCCGCAGCCCCGGAGCAGGAGCCCACAGCAGCGCCTCTGCCCAGGAGGGGCCTGGGCACCTCCAGGCTTGCGAGGCGCTGCCAGGACCCCAGGCTGCATCCAGCACCGCCTGGCCGGCCCTCCAGGAAGCACCTCGCAGGCCCTGCCCCTCGGGCCGGGGACTGCTGCGTTTCACTCCCACCGCCGCCGCCGGCTCACCGGGTGGCCATGTGTGGACCCCCACACCCAGGTTTCATTCCCAGGCTCACCGGGTGGCCATGTGTGGACCCGCACACCCAGGTTTCATTCCCAGGCTTCATTCCCAGGCTCACCGGGTGGCCATGTGTGGACCCCCACACCCAGGTTTCACGCCCACTGCCAGCTCACCGGGTGGCCAGACATGGAGCTGCACTGTGGGACATGGGGAGAGGAAGGCCCGAGCCCGCCCGGCCACACCCTCCCAGCCCCATCCAGAACACAGGCCTGACTGGCCATGCTGGGTCGTCTCCTGCCCCAACCTCTGAAGGCTGGGAGCCTCTGCTGGGCTCCCTCCTCCGACGCCTGGCTTTTCTGAGGGCGCGCTGCTCTGGGAGCCGGCTCCGGCTCTGGCTCCAGCTCCTGCCCCGTCTCACTGCTGCAGGAAGCCTGATACCCTCCCCGGCTGACCCATGGCAGCTGGCCTGGCGCTCTCAACTTGAAAGGCTGCGACTGCTTTCAGCCCTGGCCCTGGATCAGGGGCCACGCCTGCCAGGCCACAGGGCCACGGGCTGGGAGGCTGCTCTTCAGGGCTCCTCCAGGCCAGGGCCCCGGAGCCGGGCAGGAGCAGCCTCCTCCCACAGGAATCCTGACCACGTTCCCAGGGTCCCAGGGAAAGGCCATGGACAGTATCCTGGCATCAGCCTTAGAGAGCCAATAGCCTTGTGGGGCGCTAACCACACTGCCTGACCACGCTGGCGTGTCTGATGGCTGGCGGAGGGCCCGGGGCGGGTGCCTGTCTGTGCAGGGCTGCAGATGGGTGGCCTGGACCCTGGCTGGTGCTGGATCTGGATCCAGTAAGAGCTGGTGTATCAGGGAGCCCCCGCCGCCGGCCTCCAAACCCCCCTCCCCATGGGTGTTGCCAAGACAACACTGTCCCTGATGGGTGGACACAGCAAGGCCAGCGCTGAGCCCTCTGGGGTGAATGAGCAGGGCAGAGAGGAAGGCCGGTGCCACACCAGTCAGCTCCCACGTACAGACGGGAGGCACAGCGTCTCCCGGGAAACCACTCGTGGCACCCAGGATTAGGGCCCTGGGACCCACGTCCCTGGCCAGCACTGAAGTCGCCAGTGAGAAACTCCGGGCAGCTCAGGGGGTCTGTCCCACTGGACTGAGGGGTCTGACCCCTGGAGTGGGGGGGGGGTCTGTCCCCCTAGAGTGGGGGGTCTGTCCCACCAAAGTGAGGGGGGTCTGTCCCACCAGACTGAGGGGACTAGGGGGTCTGTCCCACCAGACTGAGGGGACTAGGGGGTCTGTCCCACCGGACTGGGGGGACTAGGGGGTCTGTCCCACCGGACTGGGGGGGTCTATCCCACCGGAGTGGGAGTTCTGTCCCACCAGACTGAGGGGTCTGTCCCACAGGACTGGGGGGTCTGTCCCACAGGACTGGGGGGTCTGTCCCACCGGAGTGGGGGGCCTGTCCCACTGGAGTGGGGGGGTCTGTCCCACCGGACTTGGGGGGGGTCTGTCCCACTGGAGTGGGGGGTCTGCCGACTGGATGGGAGGGGGCTGGTGACAGCTCTTACTTGGCAAAGACCTTCTTCCCAATGCGAGCCCGGGCGGTGTTGGCCCGCTCTTGCAGGTCGGTGAGGTTGGGGTGTTTCTTCCTCTTCCCTTTGCCCTTCTTGCTATACCTGGATGAGCCGAGATCTGCCCCTGTGGCGGCCTCCACGTCCTTCAGAAACTCAGGGTCCTGCCAATCTGAACAAAACCCTCAATGTTAGAAAATGCTTGCCAGACTCCAGCGCCGGTTCTCCTAGTTCAAGCTCCGCCCCAGGAGACAGGGCGGGCTCTGCTGACTCGGCACAGGCCCGAGAGGAGGCAGACACAGAAGGGCCAGGCTGTGGCCAGGGAGTGGGACTACCACGGTACTTTCCAGCCTGTAGGCTGGACAGCTGGGTGCTCTCAGACACACCTGCTGCCAGGCTGGGAAGTACGGGTGGGCCGAGTGCTATCTCCTGTGCCGCAGGAACCTGGCACATGCCTCAGAAACACGGTGTGCGACTCAGCAAGGCAGGGCTGCCGTCTGCAAGCCAGCCCGGCACCAGCTGTTATGAGCCAGCGTCCTCTCCACACCAGGAAGACGCATGATGATGTCACTGCTCACCCCTGGGCTGCTGAAAACGGTAGCTACGTGAAGGCACCAAGCCCCTCAGGGGTTGGGGCCTGAGGCTGCAGGCAGCCACGGATCAGCATGGTGTGGGTCGGGCCGGGCCTGGCCTGGCCGGGGAGGCCCCCCAGGGAGGCGGGGAGGACCACCCCACCCCGACAGGCCCAGCCCACAGACGGGCCTGGCTCCAAGTGCACCAGACACCCCCACACTCTGTGGAACTCAGCGCCAGGGCACGGGGGCAGAGGTGGTATTTGCCAGCAGGGTGCCGCTGGGCCAGGCTGTGCGGAGGCCACGCTCCTCCGGGGAGCAGCTGTGCACCCCAGACAGACGGATGGCACGGCCTTCCCAGGCTGACTTTTGGAGTGAAGGAACTCGGGCTGCACAGTTCAGATACAGGGGCGATTAATCCAAGATTAAGGAAAACTGTCCAAACAGTTTATCTCCCGGTAATAAGAAGGCGTCACAGTTTAGGAACCCGGTGAATAGAGCAATTGTTTAAACACAAGGAAAAACGCCGGCACCCAGCGGAGACGGAATGAGCACCTCGGGAAAATGAAGGAGCAATTTAAAAGCCTTTGAAGAAAATCAATAGATGCTGGGGCCGCGGGCCTTCCCGGCGCTGCGCGTGCATTGTCACTGAGGTGAGCACCAGGGAAAGAAAAGTGCCCCGTGCGCGGGGCGGGATCAATACTGCAGTTAGTAAAGAGACGCTATTTCACATCTGACTGGCCAGCGTGGCTCAGCCCAAGGCCTGATACCTGTGTGTTAACAAGCCACCGAGGGCTGGAGAACCAGATACTCTTCAGGGCTGACACAAAAATAGGCACTTAATTTGCTCCTGAGTGCAAGCCACCAGGGAAGGCCTGGCCCGCAGATTAACGGGTCAGGACCCACTCTACCCCCTGGCCTCCACACATCCCAGGACGCTGGGCTGGGACTGCAAGAAGGCCAAGAGCCTGCAGACGCGGCCCTCCCCAGAGGAGGCTGGGCCCAGTGCCTGCCCCCCGCCCCCCTGCAGACACGGCCCTCCCCAGAGGAGGCTGGGCCTAGTGCCTGCACCCCCACCCCCTCCTTGCCCAGCCCTACCTGGCCGTGCTGGCTGCTGCAGCCGCTGCCTCTGCTCCCGGGCCCTGTGCTCTGGGTCGAGAGGCTGCCCGGCGTCATCTCTGGGGATGATCTTCCCGTGGAATGGGCACTGCAGAGAGGCACACACAGCCCTCAGGGGTGCATGGTCAAGCAAGGTCCCGTGAAGTCTGTGAGCAATACCCCTTGAACGAGGGGCCCAGGAACAGCAACGGAGCTTGAGGCCTGGCATCAGTCCGCCGGAGGCAACCGTGTCTCAACCTGCATTCTGTGTCTGCAGCCGTGTCTGCAGGCTCTTGGCCTTCTTGCACTCCCAGCTCAGCGTCCTGGGATGTGTGGAGGCCAGGGGGTGGACCAGCTGCCCAGGGTGTGGGAGGTGGGGCAGCCTAGCACCCCCTTCCCGCCCCCCAGGACTCCAGCCTCACAGGGACAAGGGGCCTGGGCACTATGGAGGCACTCAGAAGCTGACTCCAGAGCCCAGGCAGGACACAGTGCTCTGATGGACAGTGGCTAGCAGGGCAGCCCCGCCCCAGGGCCCCTTGGTGCTTGTGCCACGCCCAGGGAGGACTTCCCTCTGGCTACTCCATCCGGGCCCAGCCAACTGCCTCACCTTTAGCCGGTCTTGGCGCTCACAGAGCCGGCCGTCGGGTCTCAGGGCCCGGCACCGGTGCTGCACGGGCTCAAATGTTCCTGCAAAGGTGATGTGGCGGCTCCGGAGAACCTCAGAGACGTCTGCACTATCTGTCTCCTCCTCTACCTCATGGGGCTTCCAGAAGCGGTGCTGAGACTTGGATCTGCAACGTGGACCAGACACCTTCAAAACGTCTTCAGGGTCCTCATAGAAAGGCAGCTACCCCGTGTCCAGAAGAGGGGGCAACTGTCCCCCACAGCACCCAAACTGCCCCTCAACCCTGGGAAGGGAACGGACCCTACCAAACCCCAAATCCTCCTGGGGCAGAGGACACTGTCACTTCAGCTGGACTCGATCTGGCCACGGCATCAAACAGGTCAAGACCACGGACCCAAGCGCCCCCCTGCGGGCCGCCCCCCTGCGGCCTGGACACAGCTCCCGCGACTGTGCTCATCTCTCCCCACCTTCCTCCCTGGGGAGCCCCCGCCCCTCTGGCCTGGGCCCTGCCTGGTGGCTGCCAGGGAAGAATGAGTGCTCAGGGTAGCTGGGGGGGCGGGGGGGGGAGGGGGAGACCGGCTGCTGCAGGCTGAGAAGGCAGCATCCCAGGGCTCTGGAGAACTCTTGGGGCCATTCATGCTTTGGGCCTGGCCTTCCCAGCGGTTCCCGAAGGGCGCTGTGCCCGCTCCCAGGCAGCAGCTTCCCAAAGCTGGCTCTGCTGGACTCACTTGAGAATCTTCCCAGCCACCGGCTGCTCCTGACCCCAGTTGCACAGGTCTGCTCCAAAGGGCACAACAGGCGCCCGGGCCCGCTCTGCGGCCAGCCTCTGGGCTTCTGGTCCCAGCGGTGCCCTGAGAACAGCATGGCGTTAGCTGCCCACCTCTGGTACAGCCCCCACGCCCCCCCCCACCCCAGTACAGTGCCAGTGCGAACAAGCCACGGCCACAGCCACATACGGCCCGGGCTTTGGGCAGCGGCCGAGGTGCAGCTAGCGCCAAAGCTAAGCACCGGCTCTGGTCTCCACGCTTGCCAGGCCGGGTCCCCCCACATCCACCTCACATTCTAGAGCACGGCCCAGGCTCATGTGCCCCACGAGCATCTTTGCCCCGGGTCTCTGTCCCTGCCCTGGCAGACCCCAGCAGGTACCGCCCTGCTGGAGCTGCACGCTCTACAGCGCTCAAAGGAGCGCCTGAGAAGAGGGCGTGCGGCGTCACCTGGCGGCGCTGGGAGGCGGAGGGGCTCGGCGGTCTGGGAGCCGCCAGGGCTGGGCGGCAGCAGAGGTGGGGTCTGGCGCCTCTTCAGACCTCTTCACCCTGGCCTGCAGGGGCTGGGTGGCCGTGGCTGCAGCCGTGTCTCTCCGCAGAGTCTCTGTCAGCCCTGAAACAGACACAGACCTGATCCAGGCGCTGCGCCGCCCCGCCCTGTGGCCTCCGTGGCCAGCGGCGCGGCGGCCTGACCCGGGCCTCAGGCAGGGCCCACGCAGCCCTGCTGGGGACACTGCTAACATGGGGTCACCAGCTGCAGCCCTGCCCAGAGTTCTCCACAGCCCATGCTGCCGTGTGGGGGACGGGGCCTGCACACCCCAACCGTGACACGCCACTGCGTGCAGCCCGGGCTCCACCGCCCCCAGGGCACATGGAGGAAGCTTTAAGCTGGGACTCACACAGCACTTCTCTCCGGGGATATGCCCGGGACTGTACTCGGCTTCTGCCAAAGGCCTTGAGAGCAAACAGGGCACCAGAGCCACGAGCCAGGCACAGGGTGCACAAGCTCACATGACCGCAGAGCAGACGCCAGGCTCCTGACAAGCAGCCGGCAGGCCCTGGGCTGGACGGGGCTGACACTGGCCCCTCTGCAGGGCCCCCAGACGACATGACAGACAGCACAGACTTCTATATCTGGTCTTGTGTCCCTGCAGGACAAGGGCAGACCTTGCACACTCCAGACCTGCCCACCCTGCCTTGCCCAGGGCCAGCAGCTGGCAAGGCCGGCCCTGCACCCGCCCCCGCCCCTCGCTGCCCCCTCTCTGGCAGGGCACCACAGGGCTGCTGGGGCTCCAAAGGCTGCCCCATCCTGCATGTATCACACCAGAACAAGTCCTGCACTTCGCCCCCTGCCCAGGGCCCAGAGCAGCCCGAACCAAACGCACAGCACCGCCTTCTATGCACCTTGTCACAAAAGAAAGAAAAAAAAAAGAATTTTACAATGTGCGTCTGACAAAGCAGAATGCACACACCAGACCAAGCGAGAAGGGAAAGCCCAAGGAAGCTGGAGAGAACATGAGCAACGGCCAGTCTACTTAAAGATAATAATTAAACTAAAAAAGAAAAAGCCAGAGGTGGAACTGTGGTTCACATGGTAGTACTAACCTTGAGCAAAAAACCCTCAGGAACAGAGCCCAGTCCCTGAGTTCAAGCCCCAGGACCACCAGCACAAAGCATGAAAAGAGAAGAAACAAGAAAAGGAAGGGTGGCAAGGAAGGGCACAGAGGCACAGGGGGCAAGTCTACAATCACTGGCTCAGCAGATGGGGGGGGGCGGGAGCGCAGAGCAAACCTCTTCAGCTCAGAGGTGTGAGGGACAGACTGGTGTCAGTGTCCTCATTTGTGGATTCCCAGAAGAAAGGAAAAAACAACTGGAGTGTGGAAACACAGCTAAGAAGCGGTTAGCCAAACTTCCCTGGTATCAGAGAGCTTTTTGAGAGCAAGAGGAAAAACTTTGGCTGGAAATGTTGCAGAAAGCTTAAGAACACTGAAGTTCAGGAGAAGCGGACAAATTCTACTGCTGCTCCTCTTATAAGAGCAGCAGTGAACACAGGGCATAGGAAAGGGCTAGAGTTCTGTCTCAGGGGTACAGTGCTTGCCTGGCGTGTGTGAGGCCCTGGGTTCAACCTCTAGCACAAGAAGGGAGGGCGGGCCCGCCGGGTGCTGGTGGCTCACACCTGTCATGCTAGCTACTCCCAAGGCTGACATCGAGGACTGCAGCCTGACACCAGCCTGGGCAGAGAAGTCATGAAGCTTCCACTGCCAATTAACTACTCAAAAAGCCAGAAGTGGAGCTGTGGCTCAAAGTGGTACAGTCTATCCTTGAGCAAAAAGAACCTCAGGACTGGCACAAAAAAAAAAAAAGAGGAGAGAAAAAAGAAAGGGGGGGGGGGCTGGGCTGGGAAGGTGGCTCAGTGGTAGAGCGCTTGCCTCGCATGCCTGAGGCCCTGGGTTCAATTCCTCAGCACCACATAAGCAGAAAGCTGGAAGTGGCGCTGTGGCTAAAGTGGTAGGGTGCTAGCCTTGAGCTAAAGAGCTGAGAGACAGTGTCCAGGCCAAGGGTTCAGGCCCCATGACCCCCCCCAAAAAAAAGGAAGGGGGGAGAGAAAGAGAGGAAAACAAAGAGAAAGATAGGAAACTGCAGGAAGAGTCATCCTACAGTTTCGTTTTGTTTTTTGTTTTGTCAGTCATGGGGCTTGAATTCAGGACCCAGGCATTGTCCTGGAGGTCTCTGGTTCAAGACTAGCACTCTACCACTTTGAGCCACAGTGCTACTTCTGTTTTTCTGGTGATTAACTGGTGATAGTCTCACAGCTTTTCCTGCTCAGGCTGGCTTTGAACCACCATCCTCAGATCTCAGCCTCCTGAGTGTCTAGGATTACAGACGTGAGCCACCAGTGTCTAACTTCCTACAATTTTATAACCAGCTGAGACAGCATGTAAGGCCCGCTGCTGGAAAGTACACTACCCACCAGGAAGAGAAGTAACTTTGATGGGGGCTGAGACAAGGGAGGAAACAAAGAACAGAGGGCTCTGTAATGTCTACTGCTCCTGCCCCACTCCCACCACCAAAGAATTGAGTTGGTCTCTGGATGACCCAATGCAATGGGCAATGACAGGGCTCTGTACTTAAGCAGGGGACAGTACAGAAACTGAAAAGCTATGAGAGCCTCGAATGAGTGGGCCTAGTTGGTTTAGAGCACATGCTTTGCATGGGGAAGGTCCTGGCTTCCATCCCCAGAACCAAAAGTAAACGGAGAATGCTAACAACATGTATGAGTCTTAAAAATTAGGATAACCGTAAAAAGATAATGTTTCTTAAAAGCAGCAGGAGAAAAGTTGTTCTGCCAAATAAAAGATGGGAGAAAGAGGAAAGCCAAACACTACCACAGCAGCAGCAAATCAGACAGAAAGTGCTGTAAACACAAGTATGCGGTAAATGCCAAATGTCTGGACAAGGTAATAACTGCATCAAATGGATTAAATACCCCAGGAGAAGACTGGCCAGGTGAAGAACGCTTGCATATATGTCTGCATGAGACCTCTAAAAACAGTGTTAATGAGGCTGAAAATAAAGATGGAAAAGACATACAGCGAAAACCAAAAGGTAGCCAGGGTCATATACAAACCTCAGTAAAACTGGACGTTGCGTAAAAGGGGCGCATGACCGTGGAAGTCACGGTGCACACAGCCTCCTCCGTCCCGGGGGCCTCCGGGTGGGCACGAGTGTGCAGGGGCACGGGTGTGCGAGGACACAAGTCTGGGAAGGCAGAGGTGTGCGAGGACACAAGTCTGGGAAGGCAGAGGTGTGCGAGGACACAAGTCTGGGAAGGCAGAGGTGTGCAGGGGCACGGGTGTGCGAGGACACAAGTCTGGGAAGGCAGAGGTGTGCAGGGGCACGGGTGTGCGAGGACACAAGTCTGGGAAGGCAGAGGTGTGCAGGGGCACGGGTGTGCGAGGACACAAGTCTGGGAAGGCAGAGGTGTGCAGGGGCATGGGTGTGCGAGGACACAAGTCTGGGAAGGCAGAGGTGTGCAGGGGCACGGGCGTGCGAGGCACCAGAGCTGGCCTGCTGCTGCAGAGCTCAGCCTGACGCAGACCCGACGCCGAGAGCTGCCCGCGGAGGCAAGCCTCAAATCCGCCCACCTGCTTCCGTACGCCGCGTGTCACCATGCAGGTGTTTACCTATGTCTGTGGCTGCTTCAGAGCAGAAGGACTGTTACAGAGACCTGCTGCGGCTCAGCGAGCAGGAAGCACCTGCCAGCCCCGCGTGCAAGGTTCCTGAGAGCAGAGGACAGGGCCATGTCAGCCACCAGCCCCACAGGCTTTGCAGCCCTGAGCCTTGGGTGCTCTGTGCATTCAGAAGGTGGCAGGCAAGCCGGGCACCAGTGGCTGATGACTGTAGTCCCAGCTATTCAGGAGGCTGAGATCTGAGGATTATCATCCGAAGCCAGCCTGGGCAGCAAAGTCAGTGAGACTCTCACCTCCAATGAACCACCAAAAAGCTTGAAGTAGAGCTGTAGCTCAAGTGGTAGAGCGCTAGCCTTGAGCAAAAAAGCTCTCAAGGACAGTGCCAGGCCCTGAGTTCAAGTCCAAGACTGGCACACATACACTCACAAAGATAAGTAGGTAGGTGGGTGAGTGGGTGGATGGATGTAGACAGATGGACAGACAGCAAGACGGATGGACGGATGCCAGGCCACCAGACTCACTCCGTTCTCAGGATTGACTGACACAGACCCCAGCCCACACACATATGCCTGAGGGGAGGGAGGCTGGCAGGTGAACAACGGGACATTTAGAGAGATACAATCGCAGCCAAAAGATCAATATGAGAATTCCTAAGAGTTACAAGAATGAAATATATTTTTCATTGATTTGTTGTTTTAAACCATTAAGAAGATGGGTAAGCGTGTTAGAGCAGGGTAAACACTCAGGGCACGGAACACACCACCATTTTCACACCACTGTGTAGAAAATCAATCTCGCTGACGTACTTTCAAAGTAAAACCCAAAAAGCAGAGCGCCCACCCGCCCGCCCGGGCTCCGTGGGCGTCCAGGAGCCGTCCCCCCAGAGCCTCACCACCGCACGCGGCGCCCGAGGCACGCGGCACAGTATCATGGCTCAGATTTCCTCCCACGGACGCTTTTAGAAAGAATCATAAAAATGTCCAAATCCCCTTTTTTGTTTAAATTGACCAAGTGGCACCTATTTGCCTGAAGCACTAAAGCAGACAGTGTAGGAGAGATAAATCGATAGGAGGAAATGGAGAGGCTGGGGCTCCGCACAAAGTTAGGCTGCTGAGCGCTGACATTATTGATTTTACCTAGTTCAGCTGGCCTTGTAATTAAAATGTAAATTTGAGAAAGAGATTATGTCCTGACAGAAATGGTAGGATTAAGGGGAAGATAAAAGCCCCTCAGTGAAAATTCAGAGAAAGAAATGAGAAAGAAAAAGAGCCTGGCTTCCTCAGCTGTGTGGATTTAGACTGAACCGAACACTTTCAGATTTTGCCTGCGTTTAATTGGAAAAACAGCGACAGAATATAAACTAGTATTATGAACTGGGCCAGCCACACAGGGTTGTCCAGCCAATCCCCAGGCCGCTTGCTCACCTCATTAGGCCGGGGGTGCCTCCTCCCCGCAAGGTCGGGATGGGCCCAGCCCTCCATCCCTGCCGGAGGTCTGCCCAGCCCTTCCTGGAGAGGGCTCCAGGCATCACCCCGAGGCCCTGCCCTGGAACCTGGGATCCTCTGCCCCCCCCCCCCCCCCCCCGCCGACTCTCCAGGCCTGGGCACTGGCCAGGATGCTGTGTGGATTGTGGCTGCACCCCAGGGCACATGCTGCCAGCCCAGCCTGTTTTCTGCTTGAACACCAGGAAACATGTGCCTCAAACCACTAAAGCCGCCAGGGCTGCCTCGGAGGTTCAGGACGGTTCTGAACAGGTGAACGAGAGGCAGTAACATGGCAGGGTCTGCCGCTCTCTCCCCAGCCTCGCAGCTCGCACCAGGAGGAAGGAGAGTCGTGTGGCTGGTGAAGAGAGCCGGCACCGCCACGGCCACGGCTGCCTGACAAGCCACCCGACCCTCAGGGGCGGAACCTGGCGTTGCTCTCCAACGGAAGCACTGGCTTGAGTGGTACAGCACCATCCCTGAGCCAAGTGAGTGCACAGTCTCGAGTTCAAGCCCCAGTACCGGCACCTGGCAGGAGTGACACAACACTCCTCCTGTGGCAACAGCAGGGCTGGGAAGACTCCTGCAGAGGCCATGCTGGGCCACCCCCGGGGGGCACAGGTCAGATCAGGTGCCCCGCAACCCCGGAGGGACCACAAGGCCTCCGACAGCTGGAACTTCCTCTGCGGCGCTTGGAGGGCCGGCAGTGACAAGCCAAGATGCGCGGTCACCGGCCACACCAAACAGAAGTGCTAAGCCAAGTCCTTCCCGCGGGGGGCCGGCCGGGGCTCCCCTGTTCTGTGCCCACTCGGCTCGTAAGGTCAGGTCTCACCAAGCGAAGGGGCTGAGCAGAGGCTGCCCCTCGCGCACCACTGGACTGCTGGCCACTCCTACACCGCAGGCCAGAGGGACGGAAGGAAACGATTATTCTTTGAGGACAGTGCCGAGCTCGTCTCTTCTGGTCTACTGTGGGACCCAGACCCCCCGGTAAGGTGTGAGTGACCTTAGTGCCACCGCCACAGCCTGTGTGGCTTCAGAAGTGGGACGCACAGGCCCAGGCCGGGAAAACATGGTGCAATCAGGCTGGGAGGTGATGGCTCAGGAGCCCAGCCCCAGCGCCAAGGGAGGAAGATGAGCAGCTGAGGGCAGAGGTGACCTGGACGGACACACACACAGCTGGGGGGCAGAGGTGACCTGAACGGACACACAGACACACAGCTGAGGAGCAGAGGCGACCTAGACGGACACACAGACACACAGCTGAGGAGCAGAGGCAATCTGGACGGACACACAGACACACAGCTGAGGGGCAGAGGTGATCTGGACAGACACACAGACACACAGCTGAGGGGCAGAGGCGATCTGGACAGACACACAGCTGAGGGGCAGAGGCGATCTGGACAGACACACAGCTGAGGGCAGAGGCGATCTGGACAGACACACAGACACACAGCTGAGGGGCAGAGGCGATCTGGACAGACACACAGCTGAGGGGCAGAGGCGATCTGGACGGGCACACAGACACACAGCTGAGGGGCAGAGGTGATCTGGACAGACACACAGACACACAGCTGAGGGCAGAGGTGACCTGGACGGACACACAGACACACAGCTGAGGGCAGAGGCGATCTGGACACACAGCTGAGGGGCAGAGGCGATCTGGACACACAGCTGAGGGGCAGAGGCGATCTGGACACACAGCTGAGGGGCAGAGGCGATCTGGACGGACACACAGACACACAGCTGAGGGCAGAGGTGATCTGGACGGACACACAGACACACAGCTGAGGGCAGAGGTGATCTGGACACACAGCTGAGGGGCAGAGGCGATCTGGACAGACACACAGCTGAGGGCAGAGGTGATCTGGACACACAGCTGAGGGCAGAGGTGATCTGGACACACAGCTGAGGGCAGAGGCGATCTGGACACACAGCTGAGGGGCAGAGGCAATCTGGACGGACACACAGCTGAGGGCAGAGGCGATCTGGACAGACACACAGCTGAGGGCAGAGGCAATCTGGACGGACACACAGACACACAGCTGAGGGGCAGAGGCGATCTGGATGGACACACAGCTGAGGGCAGAGGCAATCTGGACACACAGCTGAGGGGCAGAGGCGATCTGGACAGACACACAGCTGAGGGGCAGAGGCGATCTGGACAGACACACAGCTGAGGGGCAGAGGCGATCTGGACAGACACACAGCTGAGGGCAGAGGCAATCTGGATGGACACACAGACACACAGCTGAGGGGCAGAGGCGATCTGGACACACAGCTGAGGGCAGAGGCAATCTGGACACACAGCTGAGGGGCAGAGGCGATCTGGACAGACACACAGCTGAGGGGCAGAGGCGATCTGGACAGACACACAGCTGAGGGGCAGAGGCGATCTGGACAGACACACAGCTGAGGGCAGAGGCAATCTGGATGGACACACAGACACACAGCTGAGGGGCAGAGGCGATCTGGACAGACACACAGCTGAGGGCAGAGGCAATCTGGACGGACACACAGACACACAGCTGAGGGGCAGAGGCGATCTGGACACACAGCTGAGGGCAGAGGCGATCTGGACAGACACACAGCTGAGGGCAGAGGCGATCTGGACAGACACACAGCTGAGGGCAGAGGCGATCTGGACGGACACACAGCTGAGGGGCAGAGGCAATCTGGACGGACACACAGACACACAGCTGAGGGGCAGAGGCGATCTGGATGGACACACAGCTGAGGGCAGAGGCAATCTGGACACACAGCTGAGGGGCAGAGGCGATCTGGACAGACACACAGCTGAGGGGCAGAGGCGATCTGGACAGACACACAGCTGAGGGCAGAGGCGATCTGGACAGACACACAGCTGAGGGCAGAGGCAATCTGGACGGACACACAGACACACAGCTGAGGGGCAGAGGCGATCTGGATGGACACACAGACACACAGCTGAGGGGCAGAGGCGATCTGGACACACAGCTGAGGGCAGAGGCAATCTGGACGGACACACAGACACACAGCTGAGGGGCAGAGGCGATCTGGACACACAGCTGAGGGCAGAGGCAATCTGGACAGACACACAGCTGAGGGCAGAGGCGATCTGGACAGACACACAGCTGAGGGCAGAGGCGATCTGGACAGACACACAGCTGAGGGGCAGAGGTGATCTGGACAGACACACAGCTGAGGGGCAGAGGTGATCTGGACAGACACACAGCTGAGGGGCAGAGGTGATCTGGACACACAGACACACAGCTGAGGGCAGAGGCGATCTGGACAGACACACAGCTGAGGGCAGAGGCGATCTGGACACACAGCTGAGGGCAGAGGCGATCTGGACAGACATACAGCTGAGGGCAGAGGTGATCTGGACACACAGCTGAGGGCAGAGGCGATCTGGACACACAGCTGAGGGCAGAGGCGATCTGGACAGACAGCTGAGGGGCAGAGGTGATCTGGACAGACACACAGCTGAGGGCAGAGGCGATCTGGACAGACACACAGCTGAGGGCAGAGGCGATCTGGCGGGCACACAGGTGCAGCGCAGCTGGGTGTTGCCTGCTGCGCTGCCATCCTGTTACAAGCGCTTCCCAAGGGGGAAGAGGCCCACTGGCCCATGCTGCCCAGTCCGAGAACCTTCCTGAGCTGGAGCCCGAGCCTCGTCCAGCTGAGGGCAGCAGCTAGCAGGACGAGAGGCCCCGGAGCCGGGCCACGACACTGGACAGTACCTCCCTGCGCCCACGTGACGCATGAGTCCAAACACCAGGCATCCAGGAGAGAAGACACCATCACGGGGCAGGGAGCGGCCCCAGGTCTCCTGAGGGTCATTCACCATGCACCCTCCAGCACTCCCCTGCCCCCAGGGTGCGACCCGCCCAGTACCACGGAGCTCTGTGGGCACACTGGGGTGCAAGCACAAGGCTGGTCATGTTAATTTGGCGCGACACCCCGGATGGGTTGTCTTCATCATGACGTCTAGTCATCTCAATCCTTCCAGCAAGTTCACATCTCATATTGCAGAGTCCAGTTCAAACCCCCTTGCCTGTCTGTGTCTCACCACGGGAGCTAGGCTTGTTGGCATTTCCCTCTTGACACCTGCGTGTGGCTGTGGGTCCTCACGGTGTGTGTGCGCGTGCACGCACTGCTCCTGAGTCTTGAACTCAAGGCCTTGTGCTCTTGCTTGGCTTTTTCACTCAAAGCTGGTGTTCCACCGCTTAAGCCACACCTCTACTCCCTGCCTTTTAAGAAACCTGTGGACTTTCCAGCGCAGGCTGACTTCAAACCTTCATCCTCAGATCTCAGCATCCTGAGCAGCTAGGATTGAAGGCATGAGCCACCAGTGCCCTGCTAACTCTACAAAGTTGGACAGAAGTGACAGTTTCCAATCTAGTTCTGCGGGGTGGGAGGCAGGCCAGGTGCTCCCAGGCCAGGTGGACCCAGCTCCCCAGCCAGGGAGGGGTTCTCAGCCTAAAGACAATGTGCAGAGGGGGGACCGTCCTCCGCAGGCGGCCCCGCCCCCACGCCCATCCCCCTCCTTGGCCCACAACTCACCACACGCAGCCCGCAAATGGTCAGGGATGTGGGGTTCATAACCCTCCTTCTCAGGAACCTCTTCAAAGTCTTCATCGTCCTCCTCCTCCCTGTCCTCCAGGTCTTCTACCTGTAGAAATACCCGCCACCCCCAAGGAAAAATAAGACCACCAGACCCTGGGATGGGAAGTGCTGTTGGAGCAGAGGTTGGCAGGAGACTGCTCCGGAGGGCTTTCCCACAGCTCGGAATCCACCTGGGCTGGGCTGGGTCCACCTTGGGGCAGGCTGTCTCAGGCTATGCCTGACAGAGGCCAGGCCAGCCTCACCACGGCCACAGCAGGCCTGCTGCACACCTGGCCTGGCCTGGCCTTCCTCTCATCCCTGTGAAGAGCCAGCATGGCTCCCAGCCTCAGGACAGACCATCTGCAGACGCTTCCCACACGTGTTAGGCAGCAGTCACTCAAGAGGCAAGGAGGCGGAGGGGAGCTCGTGGGGATGGCAGTCTGGGCCAGTCCAGGCAAAAAGCTAGTGAGACTCCATCTCAACCAACAAAATAGGCATGTTGTGTGCCCCTGTAATCCCAGGAGGTGTAGGCAGAGGATCACTCTGTCTCTGGCCCCACGCAAAAGCAGGAGAGTCTACCTGAAAACCTAAACCGGCTCAAGTGTGGCGGAGCCCTGGGAATCAGATACTACAAGCCGTCTGATACTGCCCCCTGCTGGCCTGTGAGTCCTAACACCCCGGGGTGCCCTCCGCCCTGAGGCAGGAAGACCTGCTACTTCCTACCAGTAACAGGGGCAGCCATCGCCAAGGGCCCACATGGCTTCCAGACAGCAGGATGCCTGGGGCGGGGGGCTGGGGGGCGGCCGCACACCGCGCTCACAGCTGTGGCCACCACCAGTGAAGGGAGCAGGCGTGGCTGGTGAGCTCTTCCCACCAGCCTAGCTGGGGCAGGATGCTAGCAACCCATCCATCCAACCTCTTCCCCACTTCCCGCCTACCACGTGAGCCCCCCCCCAGCCCCATAACCAGGACTGAGCTGACAGGAGGGCCCTGTGAATGAATGGCCACAAGGGGAACCTTTACAGAGTTGGAAGAGAAAAGCTGCAGAACCCAGTCACTCTGACCCCTGCATCCACTTTCTATCTCCACAGAAACACCCGGAGGCACACAGAGGCCTGGCTTTGTTTTCTGGTGTGAGGAGAACAGAGGGGTGACTGCTGACCCCCGGGAGGAGCCCCAAGCTGAGTGAGTTGCAGATCCTGGGGAGACAGGCCTGCGGTGCTCCACCAGCTTACTCTGGCTCAGAGGGGCCCACCTAGGTAGAACCAGGCCCTAGGGCCTGGGCATCGGCAAGCCACATCTGGCTGTGGCTGCTGGGTCCAGTGCCCTGCCAGGGACACGGCTGCCCAAGAGGCATAATCAGATGTAAATGTACTTTGTTTAGGTATGGCCCATGGCTGTGCATCTGGGAAGCACAGGAGACATTAATCATGAGAAACTGTAATTTTTGTTATCAGTCTAACACTGATCAAAAGGGAAGCCTGTTCACCGCTGACCTGTGAAACGTCCCAATTATACTCTTTGGAAATGACAGGGGCACTTAACTCCCGAGCTGAGCAAATGACGACCATCAATCACGTTTGAATAACAATGAGCCACGGACCTGAAAATTATTTTTGTATAGAATCTACCCAGGAATTTATGAAAGGTGGAAAGCAGCCCAAGGTTTTAGGGCATTACGGTCTCGGCTAGTGCAGTGCGTATCAAACACTAAACAGAATTTATGTGTTTTAATTTTCTAAAAGGTAGATGTGGACTGGGTGCTACAATGCATAACATATAGTGCCAGATTTTAAATATGGGGGTGATTTTCATAAAGTATTATGCTTACGGCTCACACCCTTGAATTTCACTGAGGACTTTTTATCAAATTTTCATTTCCTAAAAAAATGAAACAGAAACACCCGGAGGCACACAGAGGCCTGGCTTTGTTTTCTGGTGTGAGGAGAACAGAGGGGTGACTGCTGACCCCCGGGAGGAGCCCCAAGCTTCACTAACGACTAGGAATTACACCTTCTTTCTCTTCAGCTAAAACTGTTCGTTTCTGTGGCTAAAGGTGGAACTCTAGGCCCCATCGTTCCGAAGTTGCACTGGGGAGGCCTCCACCGGCCTCCAGTACAAGGAACCTTTCAGAGTCTTTCCTGAGAGTTTCTCTTGGACCACAGTAACCTTCACCGGCCATCCTCTGCTGTAAACCCTCCAGCCAGCCAGAGCTTTAAGGACTAATACTAACTGGAAAGCGTGGAAGCTTCTGTCCTCAGGCTTTAATCCTTATCTGATGAACAGGGCTGTTGCAAACCCAGGATGCCAAAGTTGCTGGGGACAGCTGACAGCAGATGTGCTGCTCCTGAGGGGCCAGTGGTGCGTTTCCAATATGGAGGAGGAGTGAGCGCTATGCCACAGGCTGCTGGGCCAACCATGTGACCTGCTCAGAGATCTCACCCAGGGCTGGTTCAGAGAGGAGGAAGGCTGTGGCCCAAGGGGGCGGGCCCCAGGGAAAGGGAGCAGTCCTGAGGACCGGGATGGGTCTCCTTCACCTCTAAAACTCACACACAGCCTGGCAGACAGGCCAACTGTCCTCAAGGTCACAGATCAGGTCAGACAGCACCCAAGGCCAGCCATGAGGTGCAGGGCCCGCACAGGGGCCCGATGCCTGGGGTGTGGGGTGAGGCGTCTTCAAGAGGGTCAGGATTGGGCTGGGAAGGTGGCTCAGTGGTAGAGCGCTTGCCTTGCATGCCTGAGGCCCTGGGTTCCATTCCTCAGCACAACATAAGCAGAAAGAAAAAAGCCGGAGGTGGCGCTGTGGCTCAAGTGGTAGAGTGCTAGCCTTGAGCTGAAGAGCTGAGGGACAGTGCCCAGGCCCAAAGTACAGGCCCCAGGACCAGCAAAAAAAACAAAAAAAAACAAAAAAAAAACAGAGGGTCAGGCTTGGAAAATGTGCTGGAGAGCAATTTGCTTTTAGCCCCACTGGGAGCTGTGTCCTCGGCCCCGGAGCGGGGCAGGCTGTGTGCACCTCCACCTTCCCTGACAGGTAAGGTCCTCAGAGGTCAGGGCAGGGGGTCAGAGCCCAGGTGGGAACTGCAGACCCCCCCACCGTAGGGCCAACCACTCCACTCACATGACATGATGCTGCTACCAGGCTGGGGGGGGGGGGAACACTGTGGGTTTTATACAAATTGATTTTCATCCACAGTTAAAAGGATTTAGAAAAATGAGTCTCCATGATCATAATTAAACAAGCAATAAAATGGCTAAAATATACAACGCAATCAGTTGACAGAGCGGGGGTGGTGAGTGCTAATTATTTGCGAAGGAATGGGTGGAGGCACGCGGCACCGGGAAGCAGGCAGACTACAGGCCCTCGGCCGGAGATGCAGCTGGGACCATTAAATAAATTTCGTACGATCTAATTAACTTGGTGCGCAATCTCAATTACTTTCCACCCAAGAAATCACTTTTGTCCAGTTTTATGTGTGTCTATTTCCCTTTTAAAAAAAAATGATGTAAGGCCTCGTCAGACAAGTGAGTTCCAAACTGCATTTGTCTTTCAGCGGCTTGATGGCTATGCATTTAAAAACCCATTCTATCTTATAAACTAAAAATTAAACGTGCTCAGCTGTGATGGCCGTCATTGCATCTGCTATTTATATGCTAATGCCCTCCCGGGAAGGCCGTGCAAATTGCCCGGCCAGGCCAATATCTCATGTGCATCTCCGGCTGCCAGGGACGGACGCCTTCAGAGGACGAGGGCGTGCTGGCCAGCGTGCAGGGACAGGCACCTGGCGGGTCCAGTCACACTGGAGTGGACGCAGAGCAGGCACTGAAGCCCGCACACATTCTCCAGAGAGATCTCACAACACAGCTTCAGAGCAGGATGGCACAGGCGCACCGGCCCTTGTAGGTGTCGGCCTGCTGGTGCGCAGTGCGTATGCCCAGTGGACGCGTGGCCAGAGTAAGCAGTCTCTTTTCCTGGGATTCTGCATAATATGTATGCAGTTTATCACTACACATGATCACGACCACGTCCATTATCACAGCCAAAGGAATACAAAATCACCTTGCAATGTCACCAGCACCTCTGTACCTAGAACCCCAAGAGCTTGCAGAGAAAGCTGCCCAGGAGGGGCTAGGCCTGGCCCACGACGAACAGAGACGTGGGGCAGACATCTGCAGACACAGAGTATGCAGAGATGGGACATGGGCCCATGCACTGGCCCCGTAACTCCAGGGAGACGGTGGACAGGGCTCTCAGAGCATGCTGAGCAGCCTCTGGTACCCCAAGGCCATGCTCTGCCCCACGGCCCGGCCCCCAGTGCCCATGGCTCACACAGGCTCCTCCAGAGTCAGTTTTCTCATCTGAAAAATGGACTAATCCTGGAATTAAAGGAATAAAATGCTGGGAGCCAGTGGCTCAGGCCTGTCATCCTAGCTTCTCAGGAGGCTGAGATCTGAGGACTACAGTTCAAAGCCAGCCTGGCAGGAAAGTCCATGAGACTCTTATCTCCAATGAACCACCTCAAACCAGAGTGGAGCTATGGCTCAGTGTGGTAGAGCACTAGCCTTCAGCACAAAAGCTCAGGAACAGCGCCCAAGCCGAGTTCAAGCTCCATGACTGACCAACGCGGGGAAAATAAAAAGGGAGTAACAAGGAGGAGCTGAGCAGTGAGGTCCGAGGGAAGCGCAACGCCGGGGACAGAGGCGTCGCCAGGCCACGCTGCGGCGCTCCCAGCCCAGGGCTGGCCTCTCAGGAATGTGTGCTTCCACCCTCCCTGCTCTCCACCAGGTGTGGGCCTGGCCTTCAGGGTGATGGAGGTTGTTTACTGGCCCCACCGCAGCACAAGGTCCCTGCGAGGCTGATTTAGTTTCCCTGCCTTGCTCGTGTGGGCTTGACGGTTCAACATTTCATTCCCCAGGCCTTTCTCCCTGTCCTTTTCACCTACAGAAGCACACACTCGAAGACCTAGCACAGAGCAGAAAGCTTCCCCAACACGCAGCAGGAGAGGCCTGGGAGAGCCTGAAAGGCTGCCTGGGACCCACCACAAACCCGCACACAGCACCGCAGATGGCAGCTCCCAGGGGTGAGCCCACTGTCCCGCGCGCGCAGGGAGGACAGGCCGTGCCGTGCCGCCCTCACAACGCCACGCAGTCCTTACAGCGCAACAGTCCGGGAAGGAGAGCGCAGCTGCTGATGGCCAGACGGACCCACGCCAGGGGCCACCCTTCCAATCCACCAATCAGTGGAATTCCTATTTTCTTAATTACACAATACACACTAACTGGAGATCTGAGCTACATAATTAAAAGGCAAGCAATTTAAAAGTTTCCAAGGATTTTTATCAGTTTAATGAATGAGGCAGCTATGGATTATTACAGCTCTTCAGCAGGAGAGCAACGTGGAAACCAACTCTACCAAATGACCCTCCACATCGATCTGGGGAAGATTTATTCCTGCCTGCTTCTGAGAGCCGACGTGAAAACACTCTATAAAACAAGCAAACATATTTAAACTGGCTGAAGTATTTTTTGGAGACAGAGCCTCTATGTCAGAAGGGAGACCACGAGCCAGACAGGAGTCGGCCTGGGAAGCCTCGAAGCTGCCTCTCCCAGACAGGGCCCGTGAAGAGGAGCAACTCTTCCCTCCACAGCCGGTTGGAACCGGCCAGCATCTGAGCTGTTGCCATTTGTGTTTAACTGGTAGCATCGTATTTGTTTTGGGCTCTGACACATTTGTTAGAAATTCTGAAATAGTTAAATCACGCATTATTGAATTAGTGTTCCCACACAGCCTGCTCTACACGCAGAGTTAACGATGCCAATCCCGTACTAAGTGGCAACACACTCAGGGAAGTGATTTAAGCCCTCCGTAAATTTTATCTAGAAATGGGTGAAGAACGCCTCATTCATAATTTCTAATTAAAACAGCTCTAATTACCACCAGCCTTCATTAGCTGGCCCCACCTGCCCTGCGCAGGCTGGTGCTGCACCGGGCTCTGCTCAGCCGCAGGAGGGAGATGGGCAGATAGGCAGCCGCCGCCCAGTGCAGCTATTCTGGGAAGCGGAGCTGCCGGAGGGAGCCGGCGCTGCCACTCACAGCTGGGGAGCCGCCAATCACTTCATCTGCATCAAGTGCTGGCGCTCAGCTGTGGGGAGCAAAACCTCCAGGGACTTCTGAGCAGAGCGTTCTGCTGAATCCATTTGTGCAAACGGTCTGGAAGCGTCCACTCAGCTGACAATGGGCAGAGCGAGGCCTGCCTTTCCAAGTGCAGCTGAGACGCTATCGGCCACAATGGCCCTCGGGCACAGGGCCAGTCACGGCGGCTCCAGGACACTGCTGGGGAGCAGCTCTGGCGAGTCTCTAGATGCTGTGGTAGGAATGGGCCAGCGTCCTGAGCAGCCCAGAGCAGCTCTCACACAGAGCCCAGGAGGGTGTGGCCAGGCCATGGCTGTAGAGCCCACCACCCACAAACCAGGTCCAGACGGGGCGGAGCAGGTCTGAGACAGCTGTGACCCTGTCCCATGGGAGCCTGGAGAGGGCAATGGCACCATGGAGCCTCAGTGGCCACGATGGACCCTTGGGGATGTGGACAGAGCACCAAGGCCTCAGGCCCCGCCAGCACCCACCACGGTGGGTGCACCCCACTCACGCAGCAACTCTGAGCGTCCGAATAGCAGGAAGCCAAGGCTGTGGCCACGGGAGCAGGGTGAGCGGGGGCCACGGAGTCCCAAGCTCCTGTGTCCAGGTGGGCACCCGGGACCACAGAGCCCCGCGCACATGCTCGCACACGAGGCCAGGTCCTCAGTGTGTGCTGTGAGCACTGGCTACCGTGTCCAGCTCAGGGTGGCCATTCCTGATAAGCAGCATCAGCACCCAGCAGGAGAGCAGAGGTGGCCTGGACGCAACGGGAAGGCCCCCCAGACGCCGTGACAGCAGGACCCCACAGGAGTCCCAGTGAGGGACAGGCTTGTTGCCCTGACAACCTTGTAAGCCTGGGCACACAGAATCAGACAATTGAGCTCATGCTGATCTCCGGTGTGCTGACAGACAGGAGTGGCCATCTCCCCCTACCACTGGGAAACTACACCCCTGCAAAGAGTTGGGTCAAAACTCACAAAATGTGACACAATGAAACAAAACTCTCATCCACTACTAGCAGCACCCAGAGATGGCTCAGCAGCCCCTGCTGCAGAGCGGGGACCCGGGTGGCCAGGGCCGGGTTGAGGGCTGACGGGGTTGGGGGAAGGCAAGGCTGCCCTCTGCTGGCTGCAGTCAGGCCTTCTTCCCTCCCTCCAGGCCAGCTCTAGCCCTTCCCGGGCTTCCTGCCCACCGGCTGACAGGTGCACCCAGTATTTCCCACTTTGGGTTCTAGGTTGGGGTTTCTGGCTGGCTTCAAACTTGACCTTTTCCTCAGCAAAGGCAGCTTTGTTCCCATCCCAAAGCTCCCTTCCCAGCCTGGTCTTGCCCCAGACCAGGGCTGGCCCCACGCTCCACTGAGGTGAGCTTTGAGAGCTGAGCACTTGGCTCAGGCTCTGGGCTTAGGGACTGGAATGGAGCACCTCCATTCTGAAACCACCTGGTGGGATGGAGCGGGGTCTGGGATGGCAGAGCCCTGGCTGTGATGCTTCTGTCTCTCAATCACGAGCTCTGACCACACTAAGAACAAGTTCTCTGGCACAGGCCCTGAGGACTCCCACACAGGACACGCGTTCCTCCTGACCCATCAGGCACTGGGGCCCTGCTCCCAGCCAAGCTCATCCCTGCACCCCCTGCCCTCTAGCCAGCCCATGTGGGCAGTGCCCACGACCTCTGCCCCCCTGACCTCCATGCGGCACCTCTGGGACCTCCCGCCCTGGGAGCTCTGGAGGCCCGGTTCCTCGCTCACAAATCCACAGACCCTTCCTGACCAAAGTGCACATGGAGCAGCTGGGCCTCCAGCGCTGCCCTCAAGTGGGCGCAGCATCCACATCACCCCTCCAGCCACCCACGCTCTCCACTTAGCTGTGCCTCCCAGAGAAGACAGCCCCTCTGCTGCCAACTCCCTATAAGCATCTAAGCTCTCTGCACAAGGCTGGAGTTGGGGGCAGAGAGAAAAAAGCCTAGTTCTCCGGGCTCCCTGGAGGTGCCCGAATCTCTTGTACCCTTAACTATAATGCAAAGTAGTTCTACCACTGTAGCACACACGTGCAGCTCACAGAAGGCTGGGTGGGGGCAGGCTCTGCTCTGCTGCTACAATGGCAGGCCCGATGCTGGGAGAGGCTGGTCTGGGTCCCCACTGCTTAAAGTTGGGCCTAGAAAGGAAGGACTAAGAGTATTCTGAAGCTCAAAGAGCTGAGCACAGACCTCCAGGGCTTGCCACTACCCCATGCCAACCTTCCACTCGTGTTCTCTCTGCCCTCAGAGAGGGCACCGCCGCCCCGCCTGCCTGTCATGCCCACATCCTCACCACGTCCTTCTGTCCCAGCTCGATGTTCAGCTCCTCACACTTCCTCAAAGCAAGCTCCAGTTCCATTTTCAGGTCAATGGCACATTTTAAGTGTTGGCTGTGGATCCCTGCACGGGTAAACCGCTGAAAAGCAAGAGGGCAGGTCACAGAGGCCGGTGGCAGGCGCTGGGGAGCCTGACCAGGCCACGAGGAACTTGTCCCCGCCCTGTTTGTGATCACACGGGGGTCTGCAGGCAGGGGCGGAGTGTCTCGGGGGCTGGGGCTGCCTCACAGAGGTGACACCACAGCCAGCCCTGCTCTGTCTTCCCTCCTCCTCCACCAGCACTCTGCCTGGCTCTGTGTTTAACACGGTGACACCTGGACACCAGGCGTGAACGCACCTGGATCCAGGAGCACACAGCTGGCAGAAATTTGTTCCTGATGAGCTTGAGGGCGTCCCGGGCGGCGTGGAGGACAGCCAGGTTGTCCTCGCTCTCCCGCACCTTCAGGTCATCTGGAACACAGAGGCCAATCACAGCCGAGGGAACGTGAGCTCTCGGGGGCCCTCCTGTGGCTCCAGGTCCAGCACCTCCACCACTGCGGCTCAGCTGTGGCCAGCCCTCCCCAGCAGGGGGCGTCTGAGCCAGGCCCCTCCTCTGCCCCGCCCCCTTGCCCCAGGGCTGTGGTGGCCAAGCAGTCTCACTAGCCCCCAGTACCCCACCTTGCCTCAGACAAGCACCCCAGCTCCTGCACGACCTGCGCTGTGCCCCTGGTAGAGCCAGAGGAACAGTGCAGCTCCTGCCGGGCATGGCTGAAGGCCATCACTCAGCCAGGGAGGCTGGACTAGGGTCACAGGGAGTGGACAGCAGCCCAGCCAGTCTACAGCTAGGCAGGAAGGCTTCAGAGATACCCGGGCAGCCACTTACCAGAAGAGAGCTCCACAGCCAGCGTGTACTTGTGTGAACCCAACCCATGGCTCCTCAGGAACTCCTCCGAGTCCGTGTCCTCCTCCTCGTCTTCTGAGGGGCTCCCTGCCTCTGTCTGGGGCGGCCCCTCCCCGCTGCGAGTGGCTCCTGGGTGTGCAGAGGTGAGCAAGGCTCTGCTGCAGCATGGCTGCTCATCGTCCTGAGAGCTGGGGCTGCCAGCCTGGCCTCGGGCTGCCTGGCCTGGGCTCGGGGAACGAGCCGCACCCTCCTCAGTCCTTTCAGAGTCCTGGCTAAGGGATACAGCGGCTGGGCAGGGGCCAAAGTCCAGGGGCACCAACAGCCTAAAGCAGTTCTCCACTTCAGTCAGGCAGCACCTGATCTCTTCAGACGTTTCTGTCGAAAGATTAAAAGGCCCTTGTTCACTGCCATCTTCAGCCAGACAGTGCCTGACCAGCAATGCCCACCTGATGCCCACACCCAGGAAAACCAATGCGGGCACACACACCACAACAGAAGCCACGTGGTGCTTCTGTGCCTCCTGCTAGGACAATAAAATGCCCCCAATGCTCAATCCCTTCCTGGGGCTGGTCCAGCTCCCCCCCTCCACACACACATCCGTTTATTCCCTCAAGTCCGGGCTTCCTGGAGTCAAAGGGCCACTCCTGGAACCGGTGTGTACACAGGAAGAGCCCAGACTTGCTGAGGACAGAGCTGCGGGTGGCAATGCACCCCTCACCCACACTCAGGCCTCTCGTGACAGGCTGGCTGTCTCAAAGAACATGGGGAGTATTTTGGTTAACAGAGTAGGAGGCTTTTAGTCCAGTGACCAACTGCAGACCCTTGACTCTGTCCAGGGAGACTCACAGAAAAGTCTCAGGACCTAACCAACAAGGGCACGGGAGCTGTGGTACCGCAGCCCAAACCGGAACCACTGGGCTGGGCAGCACTGTCCCTGGGGCAGGAAGGGTGGGCAGGCCAGGAGGAAGGCAGCTGGGGGGGGGGGGGGGGAAGCACAAGCAAATATGAGTCCCTGCAGTCCCAAAACCTGCCTTTCATCTCTGCCTCAGCCTGCTCAGCTCTTGCTCTGTAGATTCTGTCCAAATGCTTCTGCTTCTCCTCCTCTCTCTTTCGCTCTGCCAGAGTCCTAGCATCGACATCTTGAAAATCCACCTAGGACGTTGGAAGCAGGGATGAGACAACCTGTGTCATGCTCAGAGCAGCGCACACACTGGCCTCAGCACGGCTCAGTCCGCAGACAAGGGAGCAGCTGCCCTGCTGCTGACAGCTGGCATACTGCCATGCTAGACCGAAGCAAGGCTGGCAGGCCAAGTGCAACTGAAGCAGGAAGACAGGCGCTCCTCCAGGCAGACAAGGGCTGCCAGCCAGAGCCAGTGGCCTGAACACCATAAGGTGTACACCCCAGAGGGAGACCAGGCCTTGGGCCTGAGGCCAGCTCTGCCTCTGCGCTAGGCATCCAGGAGAGGAAGTAACCTTCCCGTGAGGCCAGGACTCCCCTGGGACGGTGACCCTGCTTACAAGCCCCTACCCAACCAGGCTACTATACCCCAGAGAACAGAAGGCAGGTCCTGGGCAAAGCTCACCTACCTTTTTGGTGTGTCTTAAAAAGTGATAGCCTAAGGCTAACTTCTTATAGGCCTTCCCAAACGTCTCGTTCCACCCTTCCACAGCCCTCAGGGCAGCCTGTCTCAGCTGCTGGGCGGCCTCCTTGGGGGGTGGTAGAGGCTGCCCAGGATCTGTGCCCAGGGTGAGCTCCAGGAACTCCTGGAAGTCAGAAACCAGCAGCGTCCGGAACTGGTGAGACCTGGTGAAGAGCTCATTCACCACCTGGAAGGCGGAGAGGCGGATCTCGGCATGGTCCTGGCTCAGCTGGGTCATCAGCTGGTGGTAGGCATGGCTGAGCTGCTCCTCCGAAGACCTGGGGGCACAGTGACCCACCATGACCCCGTGTCCCGGCGCCTGAGGGGAACGTCTGCTCTGCACAAGCCGATGGTGACCACCACCTTCGCCCAATTCCAGAGCAGGTGGGCACACTTCTGTCAGAAGACCAAGTACAGCCCCTCATCTCGGTCTGCATTTGCATAAGACCCACAAGCCAGGAATGTTTTCTACCTTTTCTGAATGGTTGAAAGCGCCTGGGATATAGCTTGGTGGTACTCTACCATGCATAAGACCCTGCTTCCCATCCCAAGCACCAAAAGAATAAGACAGATCCCCGGTCTCTGCAGACTCAATGGTTTACCAGCTTCACACAGGGGCCTGCTGCTCTGTCCACACAGTGGCTTGGGAACAGTGCCTGAGGCCACAAAGACCAGGGAGCACTCTGGTGGCCCCTCTTCCCAGCTATGACCCCCCGTAAAACACAGTGCTCCACAGAGCATGCAACATTTTTTAAAAAATCAAAATATAAACATTTAATGACCATGTAAGTCCTCCTGATTGGTTAAGATAAACAGCGACCAAGCCTCATGTTCTGAGCTCTGAGTACAATTCTGTTTCCTATCCAAATCTGGGAGCCTCAGCTGTGCAGCAGGAGCTGCCATGGATCGTTCTGAGTCCAGTGGGCTTGTACACATTCTAGAGGACAGGCCTGGCTCACTGGCAGAAAAAGGCACTAGGCTAGCATGCTTGAGGTCCTGGGTTCAATGCCTCGTACCTAACATCAACAAAAAGCAAAGCACTCAAACCTCAGCCTCCACTCTTCTCAACTTTCAACAGTAGTGAAGAAGAAAAAAGTTTAAGTGCTGAGGTGCAGCTCAGTGGCAAAGCACTTGCCTAGCCAGTGCAATGTCTGGGTTCAATTCCAAGTACCAAAAAAGAAAAGACAAAAAAAAAAAAAAAAAAATCCTCACCAGGCGCTGGTGGCTCACACCTGTAATCCTAGCTACTTAGGAGGTTGGGATCTGAGGATCATGGTTCAAAGCCAGCCTGGGCAGAAAAGCAGTAGTGGCGCTGTGGTTCAAGAGGTAGAGCACTCGCCTTGAGCTAAAGAGTTCAGGGACAGTGCCAGAGTTCAAGACCCACGACTGACAAAAAGAGAGAGGGAGAGAGAGAGAGAGGGAGAAGGGGAGGCGAAAGAAAGAAGCAAGCAAGCATCCTCTTTGTGGGGTGCTGGCGGCTCACGGCTGTAATCCTAGTTATTCAAGAAGCTGAGATGGGAGGACTGAGGTTCAAAGCTTCCCAGGCAGGAAACTGAGACTCATCTCCAGTTAAGCACCAGGAAACCAGAAGGGACGCTGTGGTTCAAGGCGGTGGAGCGCTAGCTTTGAGCGGAGAAGCTCAAGGGCAGGCCCAGGCTGAGTTCAAACCCCGTGACTGCGCCCCAAAAAAGTGGGGCTGGGAAGGCGGCTCAGCGGTGGAGCGCTTGCCTCTCACGCCTGGAGCCCTGGGTTCGACTCCTCAGCACCACACACACGCGTGCGCGCACGCGCGCACACGCGCGCACACACACGGAAAAAGCCGCAAGTGGCGCCGTGGCTCAAGCGGCGGCGCGCCAGCCCCAGCCCGAGGCTCCGCCTGAGCCCGGGCCCTGCGTTCCCAGCCTCGGCCGGCAGCACAGACCGGACGTGAGCCCGGGCCCTGCGTTCCCAGCCTCGGCCGGCAGCACAGACCGGACGTGAGGGCGGGCGGGCGGGCGGGGGCCTCTCCCGGGCCGCGCGTGCGCACACGCCCGGCGGCGCCGGCCCGACGCACCTGCACATCCTCTTCAGGTCCTTCATCTTCCCGGGGTTCAGCCTGGGCTCCCCGGAGGTCGTGAGCTCTTCCACCAACTGGGCAAGTTTCTGACGCATGTCTGCCAACACGGGTCGCGCGGCGCCGCCTTTCCCTCCGGAGGGCCGGGCCTCGGGACCGCGGGACGACCCGCCCCGCCCCGCCCCGGCCACCCGGAAGCCCACCGCCGCCTCAGCCGCGCGCCCCGCCCCGCCGGGCGGGCGTCACCGGTCACGTGGCCCCGCTACGCATCCCCGTGGGCATCGGCCCGCCCAGCCCCCGCGGCGCCAGAGCGCACGTCAGCGCGGCGACGCGCGTTCTCTCCGCGAGGAGCGGCCGCCGTCGCCCCGCCCTTTCCGCAGAAGGACCCGCCCTCACACCACGTGCCGGAGCGGGGCAGCCAATGGCTCTACGGCGAGGGCGCGGCCGACGTCGGCGCGGTGACGCAAGCGCGCTCCCGGCGGGGTAAGACGGCCCTAAGCGGACGGAGCGCGAGAAAAGGGAAGCGGGAGGGCGCAGCAAGTCCTTAAAGGGGCCGAGTCAGGGGCGGGGCGCCGGCTCCGCGGCGGCGTCGGTGCCTTGCCCGCCCGGGACCCTGCCACCGGCGAGGGGGCCCGGTGCGCGCGGCCGCCCCTCCCGCCAGCGCCGGGCGAGCGGGTGCGCTCCCGCCGGTCCGGCTGGCGCCGACCCCGGGCCGCCGCGGCCGCCGCTCCTCGGGCCACGCCGTGCTGTCTGCCTGCACGGCTTTAGAATCTTCTCGTCGAGCCCCGTCCCCGCGGGGTCCCGAGGGCGCCCGCGGCCCTGCGCGCGGTTGGGCCGCGTCCTCGGGCCGCCCCGCGTCCTCCCGCCCCGCGTCCGGCCCCGCGTGAGCCCGCGTCCTCCCGCCCCGCGTCCTCCCGCCCCGCGTCCTCCCGCCCCGCGTCCTCCCGCCCCGCGTCCTCCCGCCCCGCGTCCGGCCCCGCGTGAGCCCGCCCCGCGTCCGGCCCCGCGTCCTCCCGCCCCCCGCCCGGCCCCGCGTGAGCTCGCCCCGCGTCCGGCCCCGCGTGAGCCCGCGTCCTCCCGCCCCGCGTCCGGCCCCGCGTCCTCCCGCCCCGCGTCCTCCCGCGCCGCCCCGCGTCCTCCCGCCCCGCGTCCTCCCGCGCCGCCCCGCGTCCTCCCGCCCCGCGTCCTCCCGCGCCGCCCCGCGTCCTCCCGCCCCGCGTCCGGCCCCGCGTCCTCCCGCCCCGCGTCCGGCCCCGCGTCCTCCCGCCCCGCGTCCGGCCCCGCGTGAGCCCGCCCCGCGTCCGGCCCCGCGTCCTCCCGCCCCGCGTCCGGCCCCGCGTGAGCCCGCCCCGCGTCCGGCCCCGCGTGAGCCCGCGTCCTCCCGCCCCGCGTCCGGCCCCGCGTCCTCCCGCCCCCCGCCCGGCCCCGCGTGAGCCCGCCCCGCGTCCGGCCCCGCGTCCTCCCGCCCCGTGTGACCCGCGTCCTCCCGCGCCGCCCCGGGTCCTCCCGCCCCATGTGACCCGCGTCCTCCCGCCCCGCCCCGCGTGAGCCCGCGTCCTCCCGCCCCGCGTCCTCCCGCGCCGCCCCGCGTCCTCCCGCCCCGCCCCGCGTCCGGCCCCCGCGTGAGCCCGCGTCCTCCCGCCCCGCGTCCTCCCCGCCCCGCCCCGCGTCCGGCCCCGCGTGAGCCCGCGTCCTCCCGCCCCGCGTCCGGCCCCACGTGAGCCCGCGTCCTCCCGCGCCGCCCCGCGTCCGGCCCCGTGTGACCCGCGTCCTCCCGCGTCCGGCCCGTGTGCTGCCACCGCCAGGTCCCAGCAGGGTCACTGCTAAAAGTCAGGTCACATGACCCCCAGATCCCCCTGGGGCCCCATGGCGGACTCAGCACCAGCCTGCCTGGCCTGGCTTCCCGCCCGGAGCCGCAGGCGGCCTGGAAGGTTCTCGTGCTCAGGCTCCTCCAGCCGCCCCATCTCCATGACCAGACTCCTCCAGCCCCCCCATCTCCATCCATGACCAGACTCCACAGCCGCCCCATCTCCATGACCAGACTCCTCCACAGCCGCCCCATCTCCATGACCAGACTCCTCCACAGCCGCCCCATCTCCATGACCAGACTCCTCCACAGCCCCATCTCCATCCATGACCAGACTCCTCCACAGCCGCCCCATCTCCATCCATGACCAGACTCCTACAGCCGCCCCATCTCCATGACCAGACTCCTCCACAGCCGCCCCATCTCCATCCGTGACCAGACTCCTCCACAGCCGCCCCATCTCCATGACCAGACTCCTCCAGCCGCCCCATCTCCATGACCAGACTCCTCCACAGCCGCCCCATCTCCATCCATGACCAGACTCCTCCACAGCCGCCCCATCTCCATGACCAGACTCCTCCACAGCCCCCCCATCTCCATCCATGACCAGACTCCTCCACAGCCGCCCCATCTCCATGACCAGACTCCTCCACAGCCGCCCCATCTCCATCCATGACCAGACTCCTACAGCCGCCCCATCTCCATCCATGACCAGACTCCTCCACAGCCGCCCCATCTCCATCCATGACCAGACTCCTCCACAGCCGCCCCATCTCCATGACCAGACTCCTCCACAGCCGCCCCATCTCCATCCGTGACCAGACTCCTCCACAGCCCCCCCATCTCCATCCATGACCAGACTCCTCTACAGCCGCCCCATCTCCATGACCAGACTCCTCCACAGCCGCCCCATCTCCATCCATGACCAGACTCCTCCACAGCCCCCCCATCTCCATGACCAGACTCCTCCACAGCCGCCCCATCTCCATCCATGACCAGACTCCTCCACAGCCGCCCCATCTCCATCCATGACCAGACTCCTACAGCCGCCCCATCTCCATCCATGACCAGACTCCTCCAGCCCCCCCATCTCCATGACCAGACTCCTCCACAGCCGCCCCATCTCCATGACCAGACTCCTCCACAGCCGCCCCATCTCCATCCATGACCAGACTCCTACAGCCGCCCCATCTCCATCCGTGACCAGACTCCTCCACAGCCGCCCCATCTCCATCCATGACCAGACTCCTCCACAGCCGCCCCATCTCCATCCGTGACCAGACTCCTCCACAGCCGCCCCATCTCCATGACCAGACTCCTCCACAGCCGCCCCATCTCCATCCGTGACCAGACTCCTCCAGCTGCCCCCCTCCCCAGTTCGATGACCAGACTGCCACGATTTCCCAACCTGCTTGTCCACCCCTCCCCATCCCAGGACTGAGCCTTCAGTCACTCTGGCTTCTGACTTCATCTGTTTAGTCCTCTGCCCCAGGCTCCTCACAGGAAGCTTCGTCTCCTGATGCCCAGATAAATTCCGGAAGAAAATTATAACGTATTTTTTTTTAAAGAATCAACTGGTGAGCTGGGCGCTGGTGGCTCACGCCTGTAATCCTAGCTACTCAGGAGGCTGAGATCTGAGGATCGCAGTTCAAAGCCAGCCCGGGAAGGAAAGACCGTGAGACTCCTCTCTCCAATAAACCACCAGAAAACCAGAAGTGGCGCTGTAGCTCAAGTGGTAGAGCGCTTGCCTTGAGCTGAAGAGCTGAGGGACAGCGCCCAGGCCCAGAGTTCAAGCCCCACGACTGACAAAAAAAAAAAAAAAAAAAAAAAGAATCAACTGGTGGAGGGTGGGACCTTCATTTCCAGTTAACTAGCAAACTTCCATACAGGAAGCATGCCTTAAGTAAGGGCCAGATGTAAGAAAGCTGAGCAAGAGTGCAAACCCATGCTCGCTTCAGCAGCACATATACTAAATTGGAAGGATACAGAGATTATCATGGCCCCTGCCCTACGCAAGGATGACAGGCAAATCCGTCAAGCGTTCCGTATTTTTAATTTGTGGAGGGGAAGGGAAAAAACATTGTTTAAATAGGGATACAGTGGACCCATTGCAACAATGAGACATACAAGTTGTTATGTTGAAAACGAACTTTACAACTTTGGTGGGGGGTGGAGGAGGATTGGGTGGGGGCTGGGGGGAGGATGGGAAGGATGGGAAGGGGAAACAAAGGAGGAGGCTACAATGCTTGGTAAAAAATGTACTCATCTTGCCCATGTAATTGTTCCCCCTCTATACGGTATTTTCACAATAATAATAAAAAAAGAATGCAAAGCCTTGAGTTCAAGCTCCAGCACACACACACAGGCACACACACACACACACACACACACATACACGGAGAGCGTCGACTTGAAGAGGTATATGAATAACCAATCAGAACATAGGAGAGCTCAGCATTAAGCATCAGAAAGAAAAGAAAAACAAAAAGAATTACAGGAAAGGCATAACAGGGAAACACTGTACTAGAAATTTACACAGCTTAATCTCCATTATTTTTCCTTGCTAGAGAAGCTTAATGAGACACACTCCAAGACCTTGGCAGGCATGAGCAAAGCTGCTGGGAGGGGTCTGCCCACACTGGAACTCCTGGATACCAGGGCCTTGTGCCAGCCTGTATGGCTTAAAGAACTGTATGGGAATCAGCATTTTTTTTTTCATTGTTTTTTGGTCACAGGGCTTGAACTCTGGGCCTGGGCGCTTTCCCTTAGCTCTTCAGCTCAAGGCCGGCGCTCTACCACTTGAGCCACAGTACCACTTCTGGTTTTCTAGTGTTTTATTGGAGATAGGAGTCTCACAGTTTCTCCTGCCCAGGCTGGCTTTAACCTGATCCTCAGATCTCAGCCTCCTGACTAGCTAGGATGACAGGCGTGAGCCACTGGTGCCGGCTGGAACCAGTCGTTTGATTCTACGCTAGGGGAGATCATTTTGAGGCACATCCTGCTGAGTGGGCTTGTGAGCCCATCCCAGTAAAGCCCGTGTCCCTGGTCTTGTTTCCTGGCCACCGGGAGCCCTTAAGCTACCTGCCTATTTCAGAATGCCTGCAGGACGCAGGAACAGGACTTTGGCAGTTGTGAAGGTAAATGTACATGAACCTTATGACTCTACTTGCCAATTCTGGGGCTTGAACTCAGGGCCTGGGCACTGTCTCTGAGCCTCTCTGTGCTCAAGGCTAGCACTCTACCACTTGAGCCAGAGTGCCACTTGTGGCTTTTCCTGTGTATGTGGTACTGAGAAATCAAACCCAGGGCTTCATAACTACTCCTTGGTGCTGGTCCTGAGGCTTGAACTCAGGGCCTGGGCACTGAGCTTTTGCTCACTTGAGCCATGTCTCTACTACCACCTTTAAAAGGCAGTTTTAGTGGAGAAGAATCTCACAGACTTTTGGCTGGGCTGGCATCATTTGATCTCAGTCTCCTGGGTGGCTTACAGGCTTACAGACAAGATACAAATGCTTGTCGCAGGCTTACTCACAGTAGTTAAAGATGATCACGAATGATCTGCATATTCACCATGAAAAGAATGAACAATGCAGCCTACATAAACTTGAGCACAAAGAAAATGGGTGATATGGCCTGTGAAAATGTGGATTGCTTTTCTGGGTGCTCAGCAACCCAGGAAGGCTTGCAGGGACACAGAATCTTCCAGCCAGACGCAGACCTCAAGACCAGGTGCCCAGGATGGAGGGGTGTTAGGGGCAGGAGACCCCCATGCAGGGAGAAGCTGCAAGCTAGTTTGATGCAGCCTCTCCCATATCCAGCTTGGTTGTCCATCCTGGTGCTATGATGCAGACCGCTGCTGTGCAAGAACGAAGCCCTCTGCACGGCTGGCCAAGCGCTTAAGACCTGGCTGAGGAATGGTGGCTGTGGAACATGGACTAGGGAAAGGCCCGCGAGGGCGCTGTGGACCGTGGGTCCGCATGTGTGGCATGCTGGTGAGCACTTGTGTCGTGTGTCCAGAGGAGGCGGGGCCTGAGTGGGTGGCAGGAGGCAAGCCCCAGCTCGGGCTCCCTGGGGTTCTGGCACTGTGGGGAGCGCAGGCCTCGCTCTGCCGCCACTTGCTGGTTGCCATGACGGAGCTGTGGTGGGCTGAGTGCAGCGGTGTGCCCTGCACGGGCCATACGGAGACCCCGCAGCGGCACCCAGGCTGGCCTGCTGCGTGGAGAACCGGGGCGGACGCTGGGGAAGGATCGCGCGCCCTGTCCTGTCTGGCTGGCATGGAGGAAGGAAGTTGGGGCTGAAGAGCTGGGGAGCAGAAGAAAGCAGGACAGGGGGGTGGGTGCGGCCCCGTGACGCAGAGCCCCTGGGCACTGAAGATGGAGGTAACAGCAGCTGCCGTCAGAATCCCAGGCCCACGGGAGTCCTGGTGACTTCAGGCTGGAGCCGCTGATGCCCGCATCTCCCAGGGGCCGCTGGGGTCAGTGCTGCCGGGGGGGGGGGGGGCCCTGGTGGCTAGGCAGCCGTGGCTGCCAGCTGTGCTGAGCCCCCTGGCTACAGGGAAAACGCAGGCCCCAGACAGGTGCCTCCCTGCCCACCTTTTGAGAGAGGACAGGGAAGACCCAGGTGTTAGAAACGCCTCACACTGAAATGAGAAATAGAAAGCTATTTTATTAACACGCTTTACATTTACAGTTTATTAGCTAATCAACATCAACATCAACATGCAAAAATAAGCGCTAGGTACAAACCGCTACACTATGTTGTGTGTGAACTGCAATGGTTCATTTGTTTGAAAACCCATCGGTTCTTTTCCGGCTGAACTATCCGTTTCTGTGATGAGTAGCATTTAGACGTTATGGTTACAGAGCCACGGGCAAGGCCTCTGCAGAAACTTGGCCCAGTGGATCTCCATGTGAATACATTCTCCAAGGAAGTAAGGCGGGTGTAGATGACATACACGTGGACACAACCCCAAGCCCACAGCCCGCCTTGTAGGCGGAGCCCTGGGGAAGAAGCCCGGGGTGGCGCCCGTGTTCTGGCAGCGGCTCCAGAGGGAAGTCAGGAAAGGCCTCAGGCTGCAGTCACTGCAGTCCACGGGTGCAGCCGGCATCTTCCTGGGGCTGTGGCCAACACAAATCCGTTCCTCAAGCTTCCCACATCTGGTCACTAGCAAAAAGAGGAAACTGAGAAACACAAGTAATTGACTCCTACTTTTGAGAGGTTCTGAGCTTCTCCCAGTGTTTGGGTCGGGCTGTAGAGAAAGTTTCCTCTGAGAAGTGCAAGAACTTTGCAGTCACATTACAAAACCCTACAGATCAAAATGCTGCCCTCAGGTACAGACTTAGTAACTCTCACTTCCTCTTCCTAAGAGTGTGTGTTGTTCCTCACTGATCTTTGGTCGCAAGAAACAGAAACACCGGGGCGGGCAGGGGTTGGGAGGGAGGAAGGCAGGCCCCAGCCCCGCAGCCTGGCCCGGCGAGCCTCGGCGACACGGGGCCTACATGATGTACACTTTCTCCGCCTGTGAGAAGTGGAAGACTTCTTTGGTTCTTGGGCAAACAACTTTATCATCTTGACGGATAGAAAGGAGAGACTGAAAAACAAGACCGGTAGAGAAAGCTGAAGATGTGCGACATACCTGAGGGGCTCCGTAACAGACACCACACACACCCAACTGTTGGAAAGAAGCCTTCGTATTCGAGTCACACCTGTCAAAGAGCCCTGGGGCTGCTCCACTGTCCCCCCGCCCCCCCCCCCCCGCCAGCCCCCCTGCCTCCCCCCCTCCCCCCCCCCGCCAGCCCCACTGCCTCCCCCCCTCCCCCCCCCCGCCAGCCCCACTGCCTCCCCCCCTCCCCCCCACCAGCCCCCCTGCCTCCCCCCCCCGCCAGCCCCCCTGCCAGCCCCCCTGCCTCCCCCTCCCCCCCCGCCAGCCCCACTGCCTCCCCCCCTCCCCCCCCGCCAGCCCCCCTGCCTCCCCCCACCCCCCCGCCAGCCCCACTGCCTCCCCCCCTGCCAGCCCCACTGCCTCCCCCTCCCCCCCGCCAGCCCCCCTGCCTCCCCCCTCCCCCCCCGCCAGCCCCCCTGCCTCCCCCCTCCCCCCCGCCAGCCCCCCTTCCCCCCTCCCCCCCGCCAGCCCCCCTGCCTCCCCCCCTCCCCCCCGCCAGCCCCCCTGCCTCCCCCCCTCCCCCCCCCGCCAGCCCCCCTGCCTCCCCCCACCCCCCGCCAGCCCCACTGCCTCCCCCCCCCGCCAGCCCCACTGCCTCCCCCTCCCCCCCCCGCCAGCCCCCCTGCCTCCCCCCCCCCGCCAGCCCCCCTGCCTCCCCCCCGCCAGCCCCCCTGCCTCCCCCCCCGCCAGCCCCCCTGCCTCCCCCCCCCGCCAGCCCCCTGCCTCCCCCTCACCCCCCCCCGCCAGCCCCCCTGCCTCCCCCCACCCCCCCGCCAGCCCCCCTGCCTCCCCCCTCCCCCCCGCCAGCCCCCCTGCCTCCCCCCCTCCCCCGCCAGCCCCCCTGCCTCCCCCCCCCCCGCCAGCCCCACTGCCTCCCCCCCGCCAGCCCCCCTGCCTCCCCCCCCCCGCCAGCCCCACTGCCTCCCCCCCGCCAGCCCCCCTGCCTCCCCCCACCCCCCCCGCCAGCCCCACTGCCTCCCCCCTCCCCCCCCACCAGCCCCCCTGCCTCCCCCCTCCCCCCCTCCCCCGCCCCTGCCAGCCGCCTCCCCCCGCCTCCCCCACCCCACCCCTGCCAGCCCCCCCTCAGCCCCTCACATTGTAGCCGTAGACGTAGCCATTGGGCAGCATCATGCCCCACCCCCACCAGCTCCCTCCCCCCGCCTCCCCCACCTCCCCCGCCCCTGCCAGCCCCCCACCCCCGCCAGCCCCCCACCCCCACCAGCCCCCTCCCCCCGCCTCCCCTACCCCACCCCTGCCAGCCCCCCCTCAGCCCCTCACATTGTAGCCGTAGACGTAGCCATTGGGCAGCATCATGGGCGGGTTGTTCTCGTTCATCACGTCGCCGGAGATCTTGCACACCAGGCGGGAGTTGGCGCAGTGGGCCATGGGCA